CGCAAAGGAGATTTGAATGGTACCTGCAAAATCCACACTATCAGGAGTCACCACAACTTGGTGATGACTCCTGGCGCCACAGAGGCTGAGGTGCTCTGGTGTGAAGACCCTCCTTCCCCTCGGCCTCAGAGCCTGCCTCTCTGCCCCTTGGTGTGCCCAGGAGTGTGGCCATGTTCTAAGAACTGTCTAGGATGGCTGCAGAAGTGGGCCCTCCCTTTACTCCCAGGACAGCCACAGCCAAGAAGCCTATTTAAACTGACTGCAATTCTCACTGTGACCACCAGAAGACGCTCCAGTCCCGCTGGTCCAAACCAGGCAGGTGTAAGCATCTTGTGTAAGCTGGATGGCCTGGGCGAACTCAAAGCCTAACAGCACCGAAGCTGTGCCTGGCTGAATTTGGGACCCCGCCTAGCAGAAATCCCTTGGGGCTCGGTTGGTAGAGTGTTTGTCTAGCATGTTTGAAGCCCTGAGTTTGATCCCCGGCACCATAAAACCTTGGCGTGGTTGTACATCTCACCTGGGGGTGAAGACTGGGGGACCGGAAGTTCAAGGTCATCCCCCACAACACGGGTGCTCCAGGCAAGCCAAGGCTACATGAGATCCTATCTTTGAAACAACAAAAACCTTGAGTTGACGACTTGAAGATGTAACACCACTTACCCTGTTGGTCTAGGGCAATGCAAGGGTTTCTCTTCTCTCAGATCTGGATCCTCTTTGGATGCTCCTGCTCGATGACACGGGAGGAAGAGGACATACATCATGTCCACTCAAGGAAGGGACAAGCTAAAGGTTAAACCGACCCAGGTCTGTCCGTGTTCCAGGGCTATTCAGAAAGGCGGGTTTCCATAGGGTTACTCCATTCTGTGACTGCCTTCTGGGTTTGGTGGCACTACGTGTGTCTACAGGGGTGTCTAGCCGCATGGGTGCGGAAGCTTTGTAAGTGTGGTGGAGTATATGTCTGTCAGGGGACAGAGGGTTTCCTGGCATGTGTGGGGACCTGTTGGGTCTGTGAACCAGAGTGTGAGTTAACACTCTGTGTGTGTGTGTGTGTGTGTGTGTGTGAGAGAGAGAGAGAGAGAGAGAGAGAGAGAGAGAGAGAGAGAGCACGTTCATCATCAGGGAGGGTGTAGGACAGGGAAGTAGAATGCAGGCAGCTCTGTCTGTAATGTCTATGAAATCCATAGTCCTGGGTCTAATCCTTCCAGCCTCTGTTGTGACAGTACACATCCTATCCCTGCTTGGGACTGGGCTTGTGTCTGTATGGGTTAGAAAAGTGTGTGTGTGTGTGTGTGTGTGTGAGAGAGAGAGAGAGAGAGAGAGAGAGAGAGAGAGAGAGAGAGAGTGTGCACATGTGTGGGGGGGGGCTATAGGGACAATATTGGTATTGTCCCTAAAGCCCACTGAGCTCCAGGCCCTGTGCGGGAGACTGAGCACAGTCACTATGTGATACTTACTGTCCACTGATGCTTTTCTTTTTACCTTCAAGTGGCTGGGGACAACAGCAAGGACCACCCCTGGTATCTCCCCCGAACCTGGTCATTCCAGACACCCCCAGCTCTCCACTTCTTCAGGTGGGGTCAACACATCAATGGGACTTTTCTCTGGACAGGCTGTGCTGTAAGGGAACCAGCCTTGTCCATG